GTTTATTTATTCTTTAGAACGTTCCTGATGATATGTTGACGTATATTTCAAACGCATTCTGTTTATTCCCGCTATGAAATGGGATTATCCGGAATGTATAAAGAAACTCAGCCTCGGTGAATTTGGCGGCTGCCTTCCTCGGGGATGAATATGCTAGGGATGAAATTATTGGTACACACGCCTTCCAAGCACGCAGGGTTGCTTTTAAGAAGCAAAAATAATTAACTCCAAATAGTTTCAAAAAGCATAGTGTAAAACCATGATTCAATAATAGAAAGGTTTTGTAATAAAGCAGTCTTCTCGCCCCCACACATAAAATCGGCTCCTTTACTTATGCAGAATGTTGATTACCCTACAGTTTCTAGTGATATTAGTAGTATAACCAAAAATTCGTCATACTAAATGTAATTTTCTAGAACAAGCATGAACCAAAAAGACAAGATCACGACAGCAGAAGAGTGGCCCGTTATAATCGCACTTATGAAAAAAGTAGGGCGATTTTGACATAAGCCGTTTGTTTACATTTGTTCGTTGTTTACAATTTGGTGGTGGCTTTTTACTGCAATTTTCTTAATTTTCGCTTGTGACAACGTGTGCACACATAAGGTAAAGAATAATTTAACACAACGACATGATTTATAGGAGAATTTGCATAATAAAAATGATTATTCATGCGTTCAACAATTACGCGTTTTTTTTTTGTTCTCTTCGTTGTTTACTTCTTACAACAAAGATTGCGTCGAGATTTCAACAGCTAGAAAATAACTTTTTTCTTTCTTTCCTTAAGGCGTGATCTTGTGTCTTTCGTTCATGTAGAACAAGTGCAGAATAGTGACCGTTTAGCTATAAAATAACCAATAATGCCGATAGATAGAACTTTTTACGCTGATTACAACGATACCAAATTTGGCGCATGCAAAAAATAACGAAGATATAAGAGGTTTGCTTTGTTTATTTGTATTTATTATTATCAGTGAAATAAATAAATAAATAAATAAATTGTCAATTCTGCTCTGGTAATAAAAAGTTTGTAACCGGTAAATAAAGTTCCTGTCAATTTTTAAACCCGTTTCGCATTCTGTATACTCTTGTAATAATAATAATAGATTGGCGCTTGCACATATGTTAGTGTTTGGCCGGGCTTATCCTCCGACTTGTGGCGTGCGCCTTGATGTTGTCACACAAAGCGGAGGGACCAACCGTTTTACGCCGACTCCGAACGGCGATTGTATTTTCATGAGAAGCTGTTTTTCATGGCAGAAATACACTCGGAGGTTTGCCATTGCCTGCCGAGGGACGACCGCTGTTAAGAAAAAACCTTTTTCTATATTTTTTGCTATGTTGCTTTGACCAGGGTTTGAATCCAGGTGCTGATGAGTGAAAGCGCGCACTGCTTAGCACTACAACACAGCGGCCGACTCTCTCCCTATACTCTTGTAACCGGTAAATTTTGTTACCATCTCATAAGCTGGTAACAAATTATTGCCCCGGATTCGCACAATTCTTTTAGAAATGAAAAATAACTTAAAATGATGAATAACTTAAATCCAAAATGCATATATTTATGTATTGTTTAGTATTTCCATAAAAAACACCAAATATATTGCAAATTTGCATAGAATAAATAAATCACATTTTACTTCTAATTGTATAGTTTGCGTACTTTTTGTAGTACCTTTCTACGACCGTTTGCGCAAAAGGCGATCACATTCTTCCCCTTTCTCCTACTTCCAAAATACAAATCTGGATAAAGGAGTGTCAAATTTTAGCTGTCACAAATTACACAACCTTGTATTATTGAATCATGGTGTAAAACGAAATTTATTGAATAATTCCACATAAAATGGTATACATAAATGACTCAGTTTCTAAACGATTTAAATAAAACGCATTCGCGAATTGATAGAAAAGTAGTACGGATTGTAGATTTTTGTTAACTATGAGCTGAATGAAAATTTTCAACCCGGCCTGACGGCTTTGAAAAATTTTTTTGTTCTAATTTTATTACTAAGGCGTCTAATAAATGCATGGCTTTTAGTTCTAGAAGAATAAAAGTCAGTAAAGACAAGTCTATTTTGTATAATTTCTGATTTTAATTGTTCAACTTCTTTTTCACCTGAGCAACTGTCAAAAATTTCCAGCAGTAAAAAGTTACGAATTGGCACAGCAGAAATGTAAAATTTTCTCGCCATAATAAAAAGTTTTTTCAACATGGAACTTTTCTACTAATTGACATGAAATTACTATCTCAACGCTCGGAGCGCTGCCACTGAGGGCCTTTGCAAACTAATAAAAAGAGAAAACTTGGAAAGACCAAAAAAAAATTTTGAGATTTCTCGTTGTGAATACGAATGCCATAGCTCGTATACACATAAAGTTGTTGGCGGTAATAAAGAGTCAAAATCAAAATGGAGAAAAGAACAAAAAGCGTACGTTAGTTGGCAGTTATAAAATAAATCCAATTTATTTGCGAATATTTGTTTATTCTATTTATTGAAAGGCAAC